TGTTCTCTCCCTGTGGCTGGCTTCCCTCCCTCTCCTGTTCACGTTCTCTCGCTGGGGTATCCTTCTCCATGGCAGTTTCTTCAGTACTGGGGAATGAACTCAGGACCTTGTGTTCGCCAGGCACACACTCATTCTGCTGAACTATTTCCCTAGCCCCATTATAATATTTTTAAGATAGTGATAAAGAGCTTACTACTTTTCACTTACTCAGAAGCTGTATGGTATAATTTGACTCAGTTGCTTGTCTTTAAGGAACTTAGAGTGCTGCAATTAGTACTTGTTTGATTTAATAATAACGATGCATTTAAATGTTGACCATGTATTATTTGTTTTGTATTCTGTAGAAATCTTTCATGTTCTTGCATTGTTGTCATATCTTAAACTAATTATTTTCATTTACTATATGCAGAAGATTATTCTGGTTTCAGTTTCTTTTCTTTTCTCTCCCTTCCTTGCTAGGAAGGCACTTATGTCACTAAGCTGTCTCCTGGACCCTCAATTTCTCAATGTTAGTGTTAATTGTTTTTAAGGAGAAAGATACTCTAAAAGAAGTATATGCCCAATGAAACACAATTCAAATAAAAGCTAGGCGTGGTGGTGAATGCCTGTAATCCCAGCAGTTGGGAGGCTGAGCCAGGAGGATCACTGAGAGCTTGAGGCCAGCCTGGCCTGCATAGAGAAACTCTGTCTCACAAAATGAAAAAAAAAAAAGAGAGAAAGAAAAAAGAAATTACAGTATGTGTTCAACATAAAACTGAACATTCATCAGCTCCCCCTTTAATGCTAAGATTAACTGTAGGCAGTTTTATAAATATCTATTTAATTTTTCTTCTCCATATAAATTTTTTAAAAAATATGCGTATGTATGTATGTATGTACACATACATATCTTTCTGTGCTATGCCTCATTCTTTTCATTATTTCTTTTTTTCATTGAATTAATTAATTAATTAATTTTTTTTAATCATTTCTTTATATGCCTCATTCTTGATAGCTGCTGCATTATGGCTGACTATAACCAATTCCTTTGTTTTGTTTTTTTGAGACAGGGCTTCACTATGTAGTTCAGGCTGGCCTTGGGCTCACTATTTAGTCCAGGCTATGTAGTCCAGTCACAGAGATCCTCCTGCCTCAGGCTCTTGAGAGCTGGGATTGTAGGCATGTGACACTTTTGCCTGACTCAACCAGTTTCTTTTTCATGTAATATTTAGATTGGTTCTCTACTAGATCAAAAGGTATGTGCAGTTTACACTGTACATATATACTTAAAATTTTGCTTTGTTTTTAACTATAGGCTATGGGAATATCCATTTTCATAGTCTTAATCATGTTAGGTATTATCTATTTTTGTAGATATTTAAAATAAAGTAAAATAGAATTTGAATATAGTATGGATTTCCATAAATTATCAATTTTTCTCTTTGTTTGTTTTTAAGTATTTGGTACAGGGTCTCACTATGCAGCTCTGGCTCCTAGTGATCTTTCTGTTTTTAGCCTCTCTAGCACTGGGATTACAGGCGTGTAACACCACGGCAGGACTGGCCAGCTCAGCTTGCTTGAGGGCATGTTGGTGGCTCAACTTTTTTTTTTTTTGAGGTATCAGGGATCACACTCAGGATCTTGTGCATTCTAGTCAGGCACTTATGCCACTGAGCTGTCTCCCTGGCCCAAATTACCAGTTAATAAAAACATATTTTTTAGAATTGCCTTTAAGTTTTCATTTGTAACTATTTTATAACTATTGGCAAGACTCATTTAATATGTTTAGCTGTGGCTGTATGTCTAGCTTATTTTCTACCATTACCATGAAATTATAATTCCCAGTAAATAGCACATATGGGAAAATAATGTGTGTTTTCTGTACATGTTTGATATTAATGTAAGGAGTCCAGAATCTTCCAGAATCCAGAATTAGTCATGTGGATACTCATGTCTTGATGTTTGTTTTTTTAAAATTGGAGAACACTAAAAAAATAACAAATAGTACTTGATATGATATAAAACATTTTATTACAGTAACAATAAAATATTTTAGTTAGCTAAATTTTATTCACTTCAGCATCAGTACTGTAGTTGGATGTTTAGAGAAGAAAATATCTTATTGCTCTTTAAGTTGTGCTCCTAGAATGGAAAAGTTCTGCCATTAAGATAAATTTTTTTCCTTTTAAATTTCCTTACTATGTTATATCCCATCACCTCTTCTTTCTTAACTTTTTTGTTTTCCTGGAAGACGTTCTTGAATCCTTCTGTTGTTTGGTGCATCAGAATAATGATTAACCAAAGATGTCTACACCCTAATTCCAAGAGTTGTGTGTATATTTCCGTTCATCACAAGAGACTTGCTGGTATGATTAAGTAAAGATCTTGAGATGGGAAGATAATCTTACATTATTTGTGTAGGTTCAATCTAATCAGAGGGGTCCTTATAAGTGAAAGAGGGGAGCAAGAGAGTCAAAGGCAGAGAGGTTTCATATGACACAAATTCAGGCCACTATTGTTGGCCTTGAAACTGGAAGGGGGACCACTAGTGAAGGAGTGTGGGTATCATCTAGGAGCTAGGGAAGACAAGGAAATATATTCTGGTAGCCTTCAGAATGCTTGAAATTCTGCTAAGTACTTAATTTTAGCTCACTGACACCCATTTGAACTTTATTTCTAAGGAAAGAAGTAGAAAACTAGCATGTATAGGAAGTAACATTTCTTAATTTTTTTGTTATTTAATTCCTAAATGTTCATATTTAATAGTTTAACCAGAGATATAATTCCAGATTCAAAATAATTTTCTCTGAATTTTGAAAGCAATATACCACTGTCTTCTAGCATGCTAACATCTGACGTTAGTCTGCAGACTCCTTTGTTACATCATGTATTTTATTTTCTCAAAACTTGTAGGGTTTTCTTTATGATTCTCAAGTTTTTTTTTTTTTAAATATAGGATTTTACCATGTTGCCCATGTTGGCCCCAAACTCACAATCCTGCCATAACCTCTAAAGTAGGTAGGATTACAGGGGAGTGTCACTATGCCTGACTGGCTTTTAAGTTTAAAAGTGTCACAAATATGTGCTTGGTTGTTAGCTTTAAAGTTTTTATCTGCTTGGAAATGGTTTCTGCAGTATAAAGGCAGAATCTTTTTAAGTTGGGAGAAAATTTCTATTCATTGATTATTTTTGGTGATGTTTTTGCTCTTTTCTCCAGAAACTTATTAGGTAGATATTGACCTCTGACGCTTGTTACTTTTTCTCTCACATTTTGTCTTTGTTGTGATATGTAAGATGTCTTAGAGTTTTTCACATTGCTATATTGGATTTTAGTTGTTTAGTCCTGAAAAATTAATTTTTAATTTGGAACTAATTTTTTTCTAGTGTTCCAGAACTGTTTAATATCTTCAGTTTGTCTCTGCAAAAAAAGGTTGTTCTTTCTGATTCTCTCCAAGCATGCTAAGTAGAACTAATAAAAGCTTTTTGATGATCTTTGTTTATCTACTGTGGTTCTTATGATGTGGTGCTCAGACTGGCAGAATCAGTAGCTCCTAGGAACTTGTAACATATACCTGGAACCCTACTCCAGACCTGCGGATTAAAAGCTTTGGGGATGCAGGTTTTTTTTTTTTTTTTTTTTTTTTTTTTATTTTGTGGAACCGGGAATTGAACTCAGGCTTTTGGGCTTGCCAAGCAAGTGCTTATTCTACTGCCTATCTCCCCAGGCCCAGATGCAGTTCTGTAATTTGTATTTTAGCCAGCTTTTTGGTGATTCGATGCTGAAGTTTGAGACTGTGGTCTAGAATTTCTTTTGTAATGGTGGGGATGGAACCCCAGACCTGATGCATACTGGACAGTGCTCTACCATTGAGCTATATCCACAGGCTTAGAGTTCTTTTAAACTTGTAATCTACTAGTAAAATGCCTTTTTTAAATTTTGTTTTCTAGGGAAGTTATAGTTTTAAAGTATTTTTTTTCCTTGTCATTCAGTGGAATTTAGAAGAAAAGAGTTGTACATGTATAGTTAGGAAATCTTATTGAGGTAATGGTCAGTGATATAAGAGACAGTGATGTTTTAAAAATTAAGATACTTAGTTAATTTGGGGAAGGGTCCCAATCTTCCTTAAGGAGGGGAAATGGACAATTCAATAGGTGGAAAGGTAGATAAATTTTCGGGTGTGGGTCTTTCTTAATTTTGTTATTGTAGCTAAGGAATCAAAAGATGAAAAAAATTGTTAAAAAAGGAGTTGATTTCTTTATGTTAAGTGTTGCTAGTTTTGATGAGTTGTTAGCTGGGAAATTTATTTTTCTGTTTGAAGCAGCAATGATGAGGATAGTTTGATCTTTAATGCTTCTGAGGATGACAGGAGATTTGACGACAAAAACATTGACACTATCCCTGACTACTTCTTTAGAAAGCATGTAGTATTTTAAAGTGTTTTTAAACGAGTTTGTTAAGTCTCCTTTAAGAAGGTCTTTAGTGTTTTCTGATCCTGATGAATCATGTTATGTGATCCTTACTTTCATTTTTTTTGACATTTTGTAGCAAAGTTAGTGTAGAAATTATGAAAAAAGCCAAGAAATGTGAGCAGCATATTTTGATAATTCTAAGATACTGTTACATAGTACTTTATGCTTGGCAACTGTCATATCCTCTGTGATAAATTTATATATACTTAAGAAAGAGAAATTTAATATAGCCTATATACTTGATTAATAGTGTTTTTGATTAGGGAGCAGCATCTTTGGCTTAAATAAGATCTGTGAAATATGGTCTGTCACAAGACTGCATGCATATAGAAAAGAAGATCTGTATCTATTCTATCTGATTTATATGAATCTGGCAGAGTCCTTTGCTCTGTGTACCAACTTAAGATTTTATTAATATTACGTTTACTTAGAGGACATGTTTTGTCTTTGGAGGAAGCTCATAGTTCCTAGCCTTCTTTTTGCCAAGTGGTTGCAGATAGGTTAGATCTGTGGACAGTTATTGGGGCATAGTACAATGATGTATTGTTTTAAGTGGTAAAAGCTGCAGTTAGAATGGTGCCTTTGCAGGCTTCTAGTCATGGAGTCTTAATTATTCATTCATTTCCTATGTAAGAGGGTCTTTGACTTGCTACTTCTGAAGCCAGCTTTACTGAAGACCTTGCAAACTCTTTTTCCCACCTTTTTAGTGGGTTGGTGCCTGCTATTCAACACTAGAATAGGAAAATCTAGTAAGATAAGGTTAGTAGTGAACCTTCAGCATGTGTGCTGCAGTGGGCTATTTGTATCATTGAAAGTTCTAAAAGATTTGCCGTCACTGATCTAGGGGACACAGGTCCAGGAAGGTGTTCATTTACATTTTTACTTTTATTATTTTTGTGTGTAATGATGCTTGTGATCAAGAACTTGAGCAGGGTAGCTCATTTTATTTTTAATACTGACTTTAGTAATCTGTGAAGTAGATTCTGTAAACCCCAAAAGGATATGTAAGACTGTCCATTGAGATATGGGAGGAAAAATTTTCTTTCTATTAATTTTTCTCATATTTTTTGTGTATGTGTTGTAGTTTGTATGTTATTAGTATGCTAGTGCTAATGTTACTTATTTATTTGTGTATTTAGTACAGTGTCTACAAGGTCTGCTACACAGATTGGATTTGTAGTGATCCTCCTGTTCTCAGCCTCCCAAGCACTGGCATTGTAGGCACATGCCATCATGTCCAGTCTCAATCACTGTCTCAGCATGCCCCTGGGGGCTGGACCTGCATGGCCCATGCTAATGTAATTGATACTTAAGTAAATATATTAACATGTAATGAGGTATGTGCTCAAATATCTATATAGATTTTTAACTGATTGGGATATATGATCAGTAATATTTAAATGTCATTGGTCTGAGTAAAGGGTATTTTGGAGTAGACTATATGCCCAGTTCAAAAGAAGACCATTGTGTAGATTAAAGTCACAGGCCTATTGGAATGGGGTGTGAGTTTTCCCTGCTTTCTCTTTGCCTTTGTACATTTGTTTGGGAATACAGATGGCTCATGCTGCAAAGCAGAATTTAGAGTCGGGTGCTGTGTATCAAATATTTCTTTTAGTGGTGTGCTGGAGTTGGTTTATACTGGCTTTTGAGAGCCAATTGTTAAATTTTCAGGAATTTTTCAAATCAGCATATATCGTGTGATTAGCTCAGAATAGGCCATGGTGTAAGTATTTTAACTGTGGAAGCTAGGAAACACTGAAAATCAGGCTCCTGCTGTATTCCAAGC